CCCGACACCAAGAACCCGAAGTTTAAGTACGGCTTTGGGAACTTTGGTCTAGGTTATCGTTTCCCGAGATTGTGTTCCGAGTTAATTAGTTCTTTTTTTTTTCTTTTTTTTTTGCATTATTATGTTATCCATACACAATAAGAAAGTTTATGCACGTTATTGTACCCCCAGATTTTCTTCCATGATAATGAGTTTTAAGATTTTTGTTATATACATTATAAGAAAGTTCATGCACGTTCAGACGATTTTTTTTTTTTCGACTGAATCTTTTTTTTCATTGTGTTTCGTGTTATTTAGTTTGAGTAATACATTTCTTGGCATTTTTATACTGCAATAATATCCAGACACCAGAAAACGTTTAACTAAATCATGATGCCCAAGTTGCGTTCCATGTCACCTAATTGGAAAATATATATAAAACTGCACTTGAATCATCACCCTTTTTAGACAACTTTCCGCCTTGTCAGTATTATATCACATACAATTGCAATTTTCTTCATTTTTCTCTCATTCTCTCAGCACGAAATACGGAATTTACGAACCCAACTGCGGCCTCGATAAAGTGTACATGTCTTGGGGCCACGACGAGTACTTGTACCACGTCCTTAAGCACAACAAGTCCACGCTGCCTGAGGAAGGACTCTACATGATTAGGTACGTAGGCGTAGGAGGAGAGAAGGAGGGGAGATGAGAGGAGGGATGAGAGAAAGAGGAGGGGGGGGAAGGAGGAGGGATGGGAGGAGGGAGGAGAGAAGGAGGAGGGATGGGAGGAGGAAGGAAAAAAAGAAGAGGGATGAGAGAGGAGGGGGATGAAAGAGGAGGGATGGGAGGAGGGAGGAGAGAAGGAGGAGGGAGGAGAAGAGGGAGGAACGAAAGAGGAGGGATGGGAGGAGAGAACGGAGGGTGTAGATGATGTATTGATGATGGTGATAGCGAATGTATCTGATTTTGATGCGTTTCTGTCTTTATTTTGTTTTGATTTTCCCACCTGTGTAGATAAATAGATAGATAAGTAGATACACATAATAATAGATTGATTCATTGATTGATTGATAGATAGGTTGATAGGTAATTAGAAACACTTATCTATCTATCTATCTATCTATCTATCTATCTATCTATCTATCTATCTATCTATCTATCTATCTATCTATCTATCTCTATCTCTCTGTTCTCTCTCGAAGTGAATAAACTGACGAAAAAGCAGTTAACAGCACATTACCTCCCCGCTTCCCAGGTACCACTCCTTCTACCCCTGGCACACGGGCGGCGACTACATGCACCTGTGCGACAACCGTGACCTGGAGATGCTTCCCTGGATCAGGGAATTCAAGTGAGATCATCTTTGTGTTTTTATGATGGAATTATGGTTTGATTTATTTTTGAGTTTTTGGTATAGATGTAATGTAATAAGTTAATTCACACACACACACACACAAGTAAACACGTTCACGAATGAGGGAAACAAATAAACACAGACACACAGAAACACAGACAATAATGTGACCAATAAACACACAAACAGATACACATACAAACTACCAAACAAACAAACACGTACACTATACTTTTCCTTTGTGAATTCTTTAAAAAAAAAGAAACTTGTTCTCCCTTTCAGTAAATTCGACCTTTACACGAAGAAGGAAAAAGTACCAGACATCGAGGAACTAAAACCTTACTACCAGTCTTTGATCGACAAGTACTGCCCAGGGACACTTAAGTGGTAGAACTTAAG